AATCAATTACCTGTATTGTGAGACTGTAATATATCCAAGAAAATATGCGAAAACTTAATTTTAATATTAAGTGAGAATTTACGAGCTTTCTGAACGCATAGAAATTTCCTTAATTCCAGTTTTCTCAAAATTTTAATAGATATATTTAACACTAATCTCGGGAAATTATTTGAACTGAATGTTCTCTATTTTTCTCTTGAGACTAAAAATAAACTTGTACATGAATTTATGTCAGGTATAAATACCAGCAGTATTCTTAATATGATAAGTAAAATTTAAAAGAGAGGATATCTGATTTTGCAAATATCAGCATTAACTGTACTAATGCTCAATTTTATCTGGCACTAATAGGAATTAATAATTTATTAATATAATTTATTTAGAGATTATCGGAATATATTATAACGCAATTTACGTAAATCAAGCAAAACTGAGTTATGACTCTGCCATATAAATTGGTTGTAAACCTTATCCACAAACATTTCCATCTCAGCATTTCAGACTTTAAATCTGGTGAACTAAAAATTTTTACTATATGCATTTCTTTATCTTACATGTTATGCAATATTTAAAAAATTCGCATATTTATATTTGAATTCAAATACTATAGCAAACTTTTGAATACATCTAATTCTAATTTCTGTTCATTAATGCATTTTTTTTTTAAACTTTGGTGTTCAGCTGCATGCCTTTAATGAAAAGTCAGGACACGCAACTATTTAAAATTTGTAGTAATTTAGCGCTGGAGATTCACAAAATCTATCAAGTCTTGGCTGAAACTAATACAATTGTACGAGTAAATTCGGTTCGCAAAAGGTTAATGTCAGTCTAAAGAATTCACAGAGCTGGAAGAGGAAATATCACAACGGTCAACGTCGCTGCCAAAGCACTATTATTAACATTCAAGAATTCTCTTCTTCTATACATGTATGTAATTTGCATCCTGGCGAGAGCTGACGAAATTAGAAGTAACAGTGCAGCTAAACTGGTAAGATAACAGGTTAAGTAACATAACCATTATAAAGTAACATTCGTATTTTCTATTCAGAACTTTCAGTTAACTAGGGAAGGAATGCCAACAACATGATGTTGCTGAAACCTGAATGTGACTTCTCTGAATAATCTTGCAACAAGATTTCGCACAATTTAGCAACTTTAGATTATTCTCATTTATCAGGACAATACTCGAATCTGTCTTTTAATAGAAAATTAACGATTTTTAGTTCAATCGCTTGTATGCGTAGCCATATGTATAACGGTTACGGGCATTCGTGTGTGGACTCTATTACGCATATCTAGGTATCTAGGTGGGCGGCAGTAAAAGATGCAGTTATATAATAAGAAGACTGTAGGTTACCTAGAATAGATCTCTAAAGCTTATTACGAATGCGCATATACAATAATCTACTGGCAATCTAATTCTCAATAATCTACTGGCCCACTAGCGGCCGAGCGGCAAAGTCGCTAAGCATTGATAGTTTGTTCCGAGGTTTGAATCCCGCGAAAGGGCTGGATGGATGGTCGTTTTCATGGCTTTCTCATGCGTAACGCGTATACGAACCTGTTTCTCTTAGAAAGTCCTCCACAAAGGCATCCCTCCTACCTCCCTTTAGGCAGATAGCCCTCGAGTGCTTTGCCGTAATGAAATAGACCAAAACCAATAATTTACTGAGCATAAATAAAAAAAAATCTCGGAATTTATCAAGAGAAGTAATACTAATTTTTCAAGAAAGCCATTGAAACAACACGGCTAATCTTTTACAATCTTTTATTAGCCCAAAGAGGCAATTTGCCCAGAAGGCTTAGCATTTTCCGTTGATTCACTATAAACGGCGAATCACCTTTTTAAATTGTTGCCACCAAATATTAGAGCCCTGTATTATATTTAAAGAAATTAAATGATTAAGAATCTGCATAAATGTATGTATGTTTTCTCGCATTGTGATAAAACAACGTTCTAATAGAGCCATCGATTTTTGACTAACGTATGTCTCCACCCTAATATGGGCATCTAGAAGCCCTAATTTGGAATGTGGAATTTGTTTTATTATCTATTTCCTATTTTATCATATTTATGAGTTTTTGATTAAGAAACTCAACAATTTCAAAGCTAACAATGGCAACACTGTACGAAAAAAAAAGACATTTTTATCGTCAGCGCGCTACAATGTGTATCGGAAATTCTAAAAATATGCTCTTTTAAATTTGTAATATTGCCGTTGAATTGAATTTTATGGTTTAAGTGCGAGGGACATGATATTTAATAAATAAAGGTAACACATAAAAAGACCATTTGGGCGTAATATATGCAAATCAGGAAGAATTTGAATTGCACAGGTAACGTTTTAGGGCATTGCTGAAACATATTTTCTGTTGAAAAATTTCAAAATTAAGTGAAAACTCGTAACTGCTGAAATGAAAGAATGATGAAGACTATAGGACAGTACCAGATCAAAACATTTTGCAGCAGGAAGAGCTTAAGATGAATGGGAAGAAACGAAAAGATGAATATAAATTATTAAGGATGAGTGACACTGGACGTAAACAAGCTATTAAGGTATGTACATAAACTTAACTAGAATTTAATGCCATCGTAGCTTTGGGCCGCACTCTGCATACTGCTCAAAATAATATTAACAGAGCTTAACTAGAAAAAGGAATATAATACCCTTTCTTCAAGAAAAGAGAACTGATTATCTATTAAGTTTTATTAATATTTCATTTGAATTTTGCCTTAAACAATGTGCTATATATTTCTCCTTTAAAACAAGTTGAAGAGTAATTTCTTTTTAAATGCTTCATTTGGATTATCGTATTTATTCCCTTATCCGTGCTCACACGTGCATTAAATAATCCAGAGTTTCGCGCAGTTTTTGAAGATTTTCGGCATAGCCGTGTAAGATCAATCGTTTTCATAAATGCTCTAATCCACTGGTCTGGCCATAAAGATCTGTATTTTGTCAGATCTTCTTAAGTCCTCTTAAGAACCTTTTTTCTCCATTTGACAAGCAGGAATTCATGTTAACTGAGTATCCCGGAGTTAATTGAGTTCTGCAATTGTTATATTTATGGAGATTGAGGAATCAGACTTGGGCCTTCATTTAGGTTCAGGTGACAGCTAAAAGTAACAATTCTGGCATGCTGTTGTACTGCAATAAATAAAACTTTCTTCCAAATCAGCTGCCTTAATATATTCTGCCAGTTAATGTTTGAAAATATAGTAAGATCTTTTCGAATTTTATTCCTAATATAATCTTTGCACATGCTCTTTCTGATAGTGCTAAAGATTTTCGAAAATACTTAAGTTTGGGTTCTCTTAAGGGGTATCAGCAACCCCTATACCGACAATGCTAAATTGGCCATTTTAGATGTACCATTTCTCAATCTACTGTAGATACACGCTTGAAATTTTTTGTGTAATTAAAGTATGCTCATCTGATTATACTGAAATGAGCTTTTGAAACATTTTTAATTTAAGAGTAATTTACAGAATATTTTGTTAGGCATACTAAAATTTAGCACTTTTCTCACATAAAAAATTTTTTTTCTTAGTTTATATCACAAAAACGTTTCAGTAAATATGGAAACCTAAGTCATAAGTTTAGATCCCTGTGAGTAGTTTCCGGAGGAAAGGTACCTTATCATCGAAGAAAACGCGTTTTTATAAAAACCCTCATTTATCAAAGCGATGACTATTTTTTTAAATTTCCTTTTTCAATCTTAAGAATGGTCTTTTTTTAAAATGTTTTTTCTTTATTTTTTGGGTCTTCTTGTTCCAATTAAAAAAAATTATCCCCATTGGCCTTTTGTTTGCTTAAAAATTACGTTTCTTTTCTCCTCAATTCTCAAATAAAGTTTTAATGGTTGAAACAGTTCGATGTAAAACCTTTTTCAAAGATAAAGATAGAGTTTGTTTGAAAAGATAAAAATTTGGATTAAAAACAATTTTTGCAACAACCTCAAAAATTCAGTTGTTCAATTAAAAAAAAATATATGTATTCTAGTCCATTATATTTGATAATTTGCCTTTATTTGTTTGCTTAAAAAGTATCATGCAAAATAAATTTACGTGAGATATTTCTAATTATTTACTCTCTAAAATCAAATTCTCACTCGTGTGATAAAGAACGACTCCGAGAATAAATTAAGATCAGTTTAATTTTACTTCAATAATTTTTAAGATCACTCTTTTCTCTCTATCATTTGTCCAACTGGAGTAGAAATTCTCTCCTTCACCAATTTCTCAATCATTTTGGAAAAAAAAAAAAAAAAAAAAAAAAAAAAAAAATTGTATTTGCAGAAAGTAATATTGCAGTGAGTTGAGAGTATGACACAAAACCTGTGACTGGTTAACCACTGTTTTCTCATCATTTTGAGAAGAAAGATAGTAAGAAAGTATAATAGCATAGTATTATCAATAAAGGATTAAACATATCAAAAATGCGTTTCCATGGAAAGTCTAGATGAGGTTTTTAATAAAAAGTAGAAGGTGCTTTACTGCTATGCTCGGATCCTTCACCGGAACACATCTTTACTGGCTATGCAGGGAAAATTAAAATCTATTCAGTGCTTAAAACTCTTTCGCTCGAGTTGTTTCGCTTGTTAGAATGACCCTCATCAAAGACGCTTTTTACCTTTATGTGAATGAAAACTGTCATCTGGATTAAAATTCTGCCATCGATAGCCATTTGAAAATACTCTCTTTTTCCTCCTAATGTTTTTCCTTAAGAAGTCGCAGATAGAAACAAACCGGTCCCGTGGTCATCTGACCTTCAACTTAGCCGCCCGAAGACAAATTTCTCCTAAGCACTCCGATAGTAGCCATGTTCAAGGATCCTCCGATTTTCATTGCTACTGCAGAAATGGTTTAGCATTCAACACGCAAAAATCAACTCTTCACTTTCATCCGCATCAAACTGTAAGTATCCTCTTTGGTTACTATTCAGAATTGTCTGTCGCCCGCTGCGGTTGTAGGGTTAATAACTTTTGAGATGCATCATACAAATCGCAAAGTGAAAAACTGTGAGTAAAATGTTTTTAAGAAGGATGATATTGGTGTGTTAAGGGAAAGTCATATTTAAAACCAGCCGATCTTTCAGCACTTGAAATATTTTTCTGTTCTGGTACCTGCTGTAAACAGTATCTATCCATTCTTAAATCTGCTATAGTAAGTTGAAAACAAAAGAGGAAGATCAGGAAATTCTCAGAAGGGGGTTCAGCTCCATTGGCAAGGAAAAAAAATTATGTAACCGTATGCTATTTTTCTATTTATTTCGGAAAATAATTGAATATTCAGTATGTAAATATTAGGAATTCAGTAGTGATGATGTTCTAGTTATCTGGTATTATTCTTTTATCAATGGTTTATTTAATAAATTGTTAGTTAACAGCAAAATTTATACCACATTAAAAGTTGAGCCTCTGATTTCAGCTTATAATGATGTATAAATTTCCATTTTAAATTTTATCGCTATTTTTGATGAATTTAAACGCTATTTTCGGGATGAATATAATAATGAAATAATATTCATTTAAAAAGTATTATCAAGAATTTTACTATTTAAAAAATATAATTTATTTCGTAACGTTAATTATTAAACAATAAATCAGTTCATTTATGCTAAAGGTTTTAGCTTTGATGTATGCTTTGTGGAAATAAACTGAGTATTACTAAATAGCAACTTTTCCTCAGAGTCTTATACATTAACAAATTAAATAAAATATTATGGTAATTTGTTTCTGTTGCTTTCAGTGTTGAATGATGTTTGATGGGTAATATATTAAAAAATCCGTAGACAAAGTTTTAATACCAGTGTATTGGTATAAATACCAGTGTATTGCAAAAGGCATTCGGCCTTTTTGTCCTTGTTTGTTAACCGATTCAAATTTAAAACTGTTCAAAATCAAATTCTATATTCAGAAAAGCCGGCAGATTTTTCTTTCACTGCGATGTGAAATGGACACAACGGATTTCAGATGCCTTGCTGCGCTAATTAGCTGCACGAATGCATTCTATGGTATTTTTTCTCCAGTCGGTAAAAACTATTCAGCTTAATATGAAAACCTATTTCACTTGTTAAATTTTGTAGCAGTCCTTTTATGAATGCTAAGTTCATATTTTCTTCTGTTTATTTTAGCAAAATAAATTTTAAATGACTACAATTAAGACCGTTTTTATCATTAAAATAACAGTATATATATATATATATATATATAGAGAGAGAGAGAGAGAGAGAGAGAGACAGAGAGAGAGATACAAAAAGAAACATAGTAATAGAAAAAAATTAAAAACAAAATTTTTTAAAGCAGTCTTGCGCTATAGCTGCAGGGTTGAAGTAAATTAAACTTAAAGTATCTAAAGTTAAAATTAATTGGAATTAAAGCAAGGCAATCCCTCAACAATATTAATAATTGCGACCGTGGATAAGAGGTTTAACACTGTATCTAAACATATCAAATTTGAAATAAGAATTCATCAGTAGGAAAAAATCGAAAAATAAAAATGCGAAAGGGAAAAAATATACAAAATTATAATAATATATAAAAAATATATATACATATATATATGTATCGTCTTACATATATATATTACAAATATACTTTGTGAGATAAAAATATGTAAATCAGCATTACAATATAATATTTAATAATAGCCTTTTAATTCCTCTTTTTAATTTTGGTTATTTCCTCTTTATTCTAAGAAAATTAATAACATTTCAGGACTGCGACATTTCTAGAAAAATCTATATCTCATGACTTGTGTAATGCAGATGACGTAGCTAACTGGGAACCTGAACTCAAAATTTTGAGTACTGAAACCTTTCTACCTAAACCCAAAACTTTCCTCTTTGGTGAGTTGCCATATTGGATAAATGCGCACTTCGCTTCTATCTCTGTGTGCTGCTTGGACGCAATATTGCTGTGCTCTCTTCCTACCGCAATAATATCAAAAATGCAAATGTTTTTTTGAATAGGCACGATTAAAGTGCCAAGTAAATTGGGGCCACAAATGCGAATTTAAGTAAAAATGGAATTTAATACGCATCGACTGTCAAGTTTCCTATTCATTATGGATTAGCATTCTATGCAATCAAAATTCTTTCTCTTCAGTATGGAACTACGATCTGTCCACTGTATGTGTTGCGCAGTCAGTATTTCTACGTTTCTGCATCTCAGTGTTCCCACTTCAGTACTTTTAAAATGTGTTTTTATTACATATATATTACACTGTAAAAAAAAATCTGTAAAGTTACTAAGAAAAGTCGTGGAAACTGGGATGCCATGGATTATTTGAGTAATCAAAACAGGAATTTTCTTAGTAACTTTACAGAGATTACACCTGTAATGGTTACAGATGTTTGACATGTAATGTTACAGGAAGTTATTCTGTAGGCATAACAAAGTTTTTGTATGTTGATTACCGAAGCACATGCCTGTAAAGGTTACAGATCTTTGATCTGTAATGTTACAGGAAATTATCGTGTAAGTATAACATGTTTTTCATATGTGATTTACCACTGTAAACATCTGTAAAGATTACAGGAAATAATAGTGTAAGTAGATCGTAATTTTTGAATGTGAATTACTAAAGGGAATATTTGTAGATTACTAGTGTTCTGCTTGTAAGGTTATTGCAAGTGATTATGTAAGAACATGTATTTTCATGTGAAATTTTAAAGGATATATATGTAAAAGTTGCAGATAATTTACTTAAAAGTTCTTCCAAATAATTATGCATATAGAACATATTTGTCTTATACAAAATACAAAAATGATATATTCCTAAATATTAAATATTTTGATTGTAATATTACTATAAATAATTACACATGTAGAACATATGTTTTATGTGAAATGTCTACAGCTACTGCTTGTAACAAAATATGCTGCATTTATTTATTTGTGGGGAAAGGGAAGTTATGTAACTTTAAATATTAAGTTTTTTTTTTAAGGAAAAATACCTTAGATTTTCTAAAAGATATACAACATTTTCTTTCAAAATATTTCCAATGTTAAAAAGAAGCTCAAATTTTATGTTTTTCTTACATCTGCATTACTTTCCTTTATTGAATTTTAAGACATCTCAAAGTTACATATGCATCACGAAATAGCTGGGAAAAAAACTTGTGTATTAGACTTAATGGTTTTTTGCCAATAAATTAGTAATGTTCTAGAATTCCCCCGCTGAACACTGGTAGTTCGGTCCGAGGTGCAAATCCCGCGAATGGGCTGGTTGTATGGGTATTTTCATGGTTTTCTCCATGTGTAACATGTATATAAGTCAGTTTCCCTTCGAAAGTCCTCCACAAAGGCATTTCTCCACTTAGGCAGATAGTCCTAGTGTGCTTTGCCATACTTAAGTAAACTAAACCAAATCATTCTCCTTATACCCAACAGTGTAATCTAAAGAGACTGCAATTGGATATGATTACAGTAAAAAAATATTTTAATGAAATTGTTTCAATAAACAATTCTAAATATTTTTTCAAATTCTAAAAAAAATTACTTATGTAACTCAACAATGAACTTAAATTCAGTTATCACAAGTTATCCAAAATTATTTTCATGCTTAATTGCATTATTATTCATTTTAATTACAACATATAATTCTTTTAGGCATAAATGCTTTTTAATCTCTTCTGCTACTGACCATTAATTGAAATAATAGATTAATTAATCGGACAGTTGTACAGGTATTTTCCCAGATTTAAAACTTTATTAATAAATTACATTCTTCTCATTGAATACAAAATTGAAGAATTAGTTAGTCCTAAATTTAATTTTTCAAGTATTCCTTCTACTAAAACATTTATTGCCTACAGGCAGCCAGACAGTAAGCTGAACACTAGCATTTGGCTCTAGATTTAAATCCTAGAGAATGGGCTGCCTGTGTAAATGTTTGTGTAACATGAAGTTTTCCTTAAAATATTCCTTTCCTTGGACAGATGGCCCTCTCTTGCTTTGTCATATTTCAAATAATCAATTCAAGCATTTAATGTAGGTATGACTTCACAACTTCGTCCCAAATTCTAACTGAAAAATTGAACAGAATCCCCTGATACTGTGTCTATAATACATGATGAATATAGAATGATCTTAAAAATTTAAGGAAGAAAATATAATGTATTTGGAAATGCCTTGATCCTATAATATTTTTTCTCTGCTATGCCTAGAAAATTAAGAAAAGAATGTAAAAACTGAAGATAAAGAATTCAGCATTAATAATTGATATGATAGTAGTAATAAACTAAAAATTTTTTAATGAAAAATTGATAATGCATAATGGCTCCTTAAAATTTTAATTTTCTATCCTACTATTAATGGAACTAATTTATCACTATAATCAAAATGACTCAGATTTTTCTTTCTTTAACTGATGTCAAAAATACGATGATTATTTCAAAATTCCTGTGGATGATTTAATTGTTCTCAAAATTTTCTATTCATTTATTAAATGGTTCAGATTAATGTTTTTGTTATCATTATTTCAAACGACTTTTTAAATCTTCGGGAAAAATGTTTAAATCTTCATTCAACAAAATTATATTTTTAGATAGATTTTTATGGAATAAAAAATTCTGTAAGATAATATTCATTCACACAAGATATTAACTTAGTATTTGCTCATTACTTTACAAGTATTCGATGAAGCCTTTTAGTGTAACATACAGGTTACATAAGGAACCATTTCATTTTAACGTAATATTCCATAATCATATATTTTATTTCAAAAAAATATCATATTTTGAAAATATTGGATATTGCAATGGATTTCGACTCTTTATTCCAATACACAGAATATAGAAACAAAAATAGGTTTATTTTTATTTGAAAACTATCCAAAAGGAAAATAAAATAAAAAATAGGTAAAATTTATATTATTGTTATTTTTAATTAACTAGTTGTGAAGGTGCAGTCCTCTTCTTCTTAGGATTCAAAGCATGGCTCCTAAAATAAGAAAAAATCACATTCGTTAGAAGTACATAACATATTCTAAATTTGTTATGTGACATTTTAATTTAGAATCTCTTCATAATAATTGCATGCACTTGCACATATTCCAAATGATTTAAATCTTTTTTTAAATTAAATAATTAAATTGCAAACAAGATTCCTTTTGGTCCTTTCATGAAATCATAAATTGCATGTATATCATCCATTTTTGAAGCAAAAACAGTACAAATTTAAATAATTCATTTTGCAGAAAATAATTTGAGGTTTATTAGATATTTACTATATTTATTTGTAATA